TCTCTCTCTCTCTCTCTCTCTCTCTCTCTCTCTCTCTCTCTCTCTCTTTGAGACAGGATTCTCTGTGTAACAATCTTGGCTATCCTATCCTGAAACTCACTTTGTAGACAAGGCTCCTTTTTTTTTTTTTTTTTTTTTTTATTAAGGATTCACCAGATACTGCTTTACTGCTTCTGAGAACCAAACCCATTATCATCTGAGCCCTTTTCAGCTTCCCCATCCCCCTCAAGCTCCATTACTGGGCATTTCCTTCAGGAACTCAAGGTAATCAGCAAGATAATAAACATATGACTTAATGTAGCAACTGAATAGGAGTGAGAATAGAATATTTCTTACACAGATCACAGAAGGATGAGCAATGCTGTACCAGAATCCAAAGTGATGCTGGTCATAAGATGGAACTGTCTGGCTTTTGATGTTAGAGGTCAAACAAAGTTCTAGACGAAAGGGGAAAATCCTTCTATTAAAAGCAAGTAAGTGAACTCATTCAGCGAGCATCAGGAAGACTCTCAAAAAAACTTTGCAAACTCTGCTGATTTAAGCAGTTTCATTATTCCACAAAATACACGTAATTCCTCATTACGTGTAATAGGAAACTGTAGTTCCCATTTGGGGTGTAGCTTAGCAGAGAGTGAGTATGTCTCATGGGCAAGCCTCTGCACTGTCTTCCACCACTACATCCAAACGCACAGATTGCAGTTCAGAGATACCTGTTATTGCTGTGACAGCAGCTGTACCGAGCAAGGAGTTACTGCTCTCTTCACAGTGACAGGAGAAAGACCACAGCCTGTCACACTCCCTCATAAAGCGTCACATCCGCTGCTGCTATTTGAACACAGGGTCTCACTATGTTTGGCCTGGAACTTACTATGTATATCAGGCTGGCCTTGAATTCACAGAGATCTACCATCCTCTGCCTCTGCAGTGCTGGGATTAAAGGAATGTGCCATCACACCTGGCCTATAACTGATTTTTGGGGATGATTTTACTGTCTTCTGATGAGTTTATATAGGAAATTCTTTCTTTTTTTTAAGATTTATTTTATTTATTACATATACAGTGTTCTGTTTGCATGTATACTTGCAGGCCAGAAGAGGGCACCAGATCTCATTACAGATGGTTGTGAGCCACCATGTGGTTGCTAGGAATTGAACTCCAGTCCTCTGGAAGAGTAGTCAGTGCTCTCAACCTCTGAGCCATCTCTCCAGCACAGGAAATTCTTTCTTTACTGCTCTACTCTCAGAAAATGGTGTAACAATGACAGCAAAGTTGTCACTCACAGCATATTCACAATCATGTGTGCAACGGTCAATCAGGATATAAAAATGGTCACTAAGCATATTCACAATAGCGTGTGCAATGGTAAGTCAGGATATAAAATAGTCACAGCATATTCACAATCGTGTGTGCAATGGTCAATCAGGATATAAAAATAGGTTTACAGTTTCCCTGATTTCTAATATGCTTTAAAATTTTTATTTTATGTGTATGGATGTTTTACCTGTGCATGTCTATGTGCTGCTAGTACACTTGTGAAATATTAGTTGAAGATGTTTTACATTCATTTATGCTGTGAAATATTTGTTTAATGATATAAGATGTTTTACATTCTTTTATGTTGCATTTGTTTAACTCTGAAAAGCTGTGTTACTTTGCCTGCCTAAAACACCTGATTGGTCTAATAAAGGGCTCAATGGCCAATAGCTAGGCAGAAGAGAGAAATAGGTGGGGATGACAGGCAGAGAGAATAAATAGGATAAATAAATAAATCTAGGGAAGAAGGTGTGGAGGAGTGAGTGAAGGCATAAGTCACAAACAATCCCACACCAGTTTGGAATTATGATTAATAGAATGGTTATTTATTCAAAGGGGAAAAACTTACAGATTACCGTCCCAGACAACAGCCCCTCTGCACAAACAGGAAAGGAGTCTAGGAGCCGGAAGTGGAGCCGGAAGCCAGAGAGAGTGGAGGACAGCCGCTGCTTTTTTAAAGAGAGAGAGACCACGCCCCAATGGGCTGGTATCTCAGCAGCTATTGGTTGAAGGAGCGGAAGGAGCTCCCACAGCAAGTGAGGAAAGGAGGAGAGGAGGATGCTAGGGGCCAGTCACCTAGCCACAACCCAGCCACAGAGTAAGAGGAAAGAAAGATATATAGAATAAAGTAAGGTTAAAAGCCCAGAGGCAAAATGTAGTTAGAGAATCAGGATAATTTAAGTTAGAAAAGATGGTTAGAAACAAGCCAAGCTGAAGTCAGGCATTCCTAAGTAAGAGTAAGTCTCCATTTATTTATTTGGGAGTTGGGTAGTGGGCCCCCAAAGAGTAAACAAACAAACAAACAAAAAGAACTACAGTATGCCTAGTGCCTGAGGAGGGAGACCAGAAGACAGTGTCAGATCCACTGGAACTGAAGTGAGGCACAGTTGTGAGCACCCATATGGTTTCTAGGTATCGAACCCAGGTCCTTTGGAAGAACACCCATTGCTCTTAACTGCTGAGCAATCTCTCTAATCCCAGTTCCCTAATTTTTGAGACAGGTTTTCCTGAGTAATCTAGGCTAGTCTCAAACTAGTAATCCTACTGCCTCGGCCTCCCACAAAGTAGGAATATAGGCTTGTGCAACCAAGCCTGGCTGTAATTCTTTCTTCTTTTTAAGATTTGTTTGAATGTTTGTTTGTTATGTATACAGTGTTCTGCCTGCATACAATAAGAGAGCACCAGATCTCATTACAGATGGTTGAGAGCCAGCATGTGGTTACTGGGAATTAAACTCAGGACCTCTGGAAGAATAGCCAGTGCTCTTAACTTCTGAGCTATCTCTCCAGCCCTGTAATACTTAATTTTTAAGTAAATGTTACACATTTGCATAACATTAATTTTATTTTTAACATCAGTTTAGAGAAGGAGGGAGGGAGGGAGGGAGGGAGGGAGAGAGAGAGAGAGAGAGAGAAAGAGAGAAAGAGAGAGAAAATCAGAGGAGGACCCTGTGAGTCACCCAGACAGAACTCAGGTAAGTCATTATGGTTGGTAGTACACATCTCTACTTGTGAACCATCTCATTGGACCCATGTGTTAATTTTATTATAATAACCTTCAAAATTCGAAATGACCTTTATTTCTTTTATGTTTGTTTGCTTGCTTATTTATTTTTTTTCTAAGACAAGGTTTTTCTGTGTAGCTTTGGAACCTGTCCTGGAACTTGCTCTGTAGATCAGGCTGGCTTCAAACTTACAGAGATCCACCTGCCTCTGCCTCCAGAACACTGGGGACTAAAGGCATGCGATCCACCACCGTCCAGCCAGCCTATGACCTTTATTTCTTAAACAAACAAAGCAATAGCAACAAAAGACTGAGTTCCTAGAACTAGGGATTGTAGCAGTCAGTAAAGATGAACACAGCCAGAGTAAGCTAAGTAAGTAAGTAAGAGAGAGCCCTGCCATCATGAAACTTCAAATAAAAGCTAAAACTTTCAGCACTTCGATAAGACCCAGAAAGCACGTATGCACTTAATTTGCAAATATCTGCATTTTAGTACAGTACTTTCCCACATAAATCTGCAATCTGGGGCCTGGAGGAAGCAGGGCAAGAGGGTTGTCTGGGCAACATGAAACTCTGTCTTACCCAGAGGTATCCGGTGCTGCCTCACAAAATCCATATGACCCAGGGAGCCTCCCTCGGAGGAGTTGAGGAACGTTCCGTGCCCGATTCTGTCAGGAAGCAAATCCAGCAGCATTTGTGTTTCCTTTTTCTTATCTGGAATCTTCAGAAAAGTGATAAGAGGGGATCAATGCCCTCTGCCTCTGCCAGGAACTAAGATATTTTATTCTGCCTTCTGAGTAGTGAATGCCAATGTTTTTAAAAATCAGAATTACTTAAACTTTCTCAAGCCTTCTCAGCTTTATCAATCTTCTACCGCCTAATAATAATCTCATGAAGTATAAACATAAAGAAGTAAAAACTAGCCAGAATATAGAGGCATAACCCTTTAATCCCAGCACTCAGAAGGCAGAGGCAGGCTGAGCTCTATGAGTTCAAATCCAGCCTAGTCTACAGAGTGAGAAAAAGAAAGAGAAAGTAAGAAAGAGAGAGAAAGAAAGAAAACAAAACAAAAATGTTTTCCCCAAAATAAGCCTATTTCTATTAGTTATTTACAAACAACTTTATTTTTAAATTATAATCTGCCCTCTCCATTCTATGACAATATTATTTACCTCTGCAAGATGTAATGCCAACTTCAAACCTGTTCTTTTAGCTTCTAAAAGAGGTTCCAAGAAGTCTTTTGCTTGTCCTACCTTGAAGATAAAAGAAGGGTGCATGAGAATACCAAGCAAACTGAGGCATCTGGTGTTCTAACCCAATAAGGGATAAAATAAGGGCAGATTGGTTTCATTTGAGTCTCTTGCTTATAGAGAGCCTTTAATGTGCTAGACCCTTTAGGGAATGCACCATAGAAAGGTTATTCTTGAGTCCAGTACCAGTGAACTCAGGTCAATAAGCAAGTTGGGTATGATGGGTCAAAATTCTTATTTCACACAGATATTTAGTATTATGGGGAACTCATTTGATTTAGGAAGCTTTCATGATTAAAAACAACAACAACACACACAAGCACACTAACGTGCAACCACACACATGTGACACTCTTAACACTCTTATCTATCCATCATACATGATGGAATTAACTTCTGGGAACAAAACCTGTTACAAGTTGTATACTATCTTTAGAAGAATGGACAGGGTGGTCATATCTAATAATATCTATAATTTATTTATATATTTACTTATAGATACATTATATATCTATAATGTAATTTTACAGTGTTTCTTTCAAGAATCCTTAAGAAATGCTATGCTATACATTCTGCTGATAGGGCAGAACAGGGCTTCATTAGGTGTCTGCTGGTATGGGAGCCTTGAGTACCAGCCTCAGAGCTCAGAAATTGGATGCCTATGGCAGGCGAGGATCTGAGGGTAAAAAAAATTAACTCAAGCACATTATATCTGCATCTGCTTTATTTTTCATGTGACGGGAAGAAAGGGGATGGAGGGGAGGAAGAATAAGAAAAGAAGGAGAAGAATAAGGGAGATCTCCACGAGGTTTCTAGTTTTTACAGACATAGTTGGAAAATTCCAAAGGCAAAGATACTGATAATGTGCATATCAAAATCACAAGAAGGGCAGGTAGAACCTAACAAAACTGTACGCTGGAACAGATGACACCACCCAAGAAAGAGCCAGCATTCAAGGGGAAGTACCTGACACCCCAGACCATTAGTTACTAAACGTCCCCAAATCCTGGATTCACTCATTCTTCTAATCTAACCTCTTTTGTGATAACCAGCTTTGGGGACGCCCAGATTTGTTTGTTAGCAAAGGTGGGGCAGGCTGCCTTCCTATTCAGTGCCTGTATATATTATAGAAATTACTATGTGGTCTGTGAGCAGGTAATTCTGGGACATTGACTCTATGTAAATTTGACAGAACAAAGAGTGAATGTTACCGCTCTAAAGCCCTGTGGTGTGGAGGAATGAAGCAAGGTCAATCCATTGTCCGTGCAGAAGTTACACTGCTGAGGTGTTCTGGGAATGAATCCCATTTTGAAGGGAAGAATCATGGCTTCACCAGATTCCCACAGATATGACAGTGACTTTTCCAAAAGACAAGTGTTCCCACAGCTCTGCAAAATGGGTGCCCCATAAGTTGTACACTTATGCATGAATCTGTCAGCTGCACATTAACTGCAGAGTCTTGTGGGCTCCAACATGCTGGCCCCTAGTGCATGATGCTCCAAACTAAGCCTCACCCCACTGACTGATTCTGCATTGAGAGATAAAATATAATAACTTACAGTCGGGTCTCCACTGAGGTCAAGGCCAAGAACTGTATCCTCAGTGGACAGGAAGAACTCTTTAGCAAGTTCAACAGTCTCCTTGGCTACCGTTAGGCCACCTCTTCTGTCGATTGCCATCAAATACCTGTAAGATAAGAAAAACACAGTTGATACTAACTTGGCAGAAAGGGCTTATGACAAGAAGATCACAGTTAAAGTCAGACATGGGTGTATATGTGGCTATGATCAAAGTGTCTGGAAGGTGGAGGCAGGAAGGTCATGTTGGGCTACAAAGTCAGTTTAAGGCCAGTCTGGAATGCATGAGACATGTCTCAAAAAATAAAACAAACCAAACCAAAACAAACAAACAAACAAAAAACCAAAAACCAAACCAAAACAAAAATATTCCACCAATCTAAAATCAACTAAGCCCAGAGAAGGTCACCTATAATCACGTGTCTTTTCCTTATGAACTTCGCCGCTTCATTGACAGTCCTTAGTACAAAGCCACCAGAAGAGTAAAGAGCAACTTCTAACCACAAAATATCTGAGAATGGATGGAGTTTGAGGCCAGCCTGGGCCACAATAGACCATGTCTAGACCTTGTCTCAAACAAAATGAAAAAAAAAAAACAAAACCCAAAAGTCAACATTTGAAAAAAACTATGATGCATATAAAAAAGACAATTCTAAATATTGCCATAAAAAGTGGCTGGCTACTTGGAATATAGCTTACTCTGAAAGGCAGCGAGTCTAAACACGACATTGTATACACAGAACGAGACATGAATGTCTAAGTAGTATCAGTATCTAGTCTGTTCCAATTTCCAATAATCTCACCTTTCTGTTTATACCTTTGGGTGTTGCAGTGTGACCATTTGTAAGGGACGCCAATACAGGCAGGATATTGGGGGTCAGAGGGCAATCGGTGTGGGTCCTCAAGCACCTACCTTTTGTCTGAGACAGAGTCTCCCATTGGCCTGGAGCCATGAAGGCCAAGCTAGCTGGCCTGTGAACTTCCAGGGATCTGCCTGTCTTCACCTCCTGTCTCACCATCTCTAGGATTACATGGACACCTGGCTTTTTATGGGGTTCTAGGGACTTGGACTCATGTCCTCACACCTGCTAGACAAGTGCTCTACCAACTGAGCCGTCTCCCAATGCCCTTAAGTCTCTTCTAATCCATTTCTACTCACTTCTCTCCCATTCCCATTTCTATCCTACCTCTTCTTATGTGATTTATTTGTTGTTTGTCCTACAAAGCTTCCCATAGTTTGGATTCTCTTGATTCTATCCCCCTATGTTAACATGTCCTCCTGTATTTTCTATTAACTGATTAATTGGATCTAGTCTAGAAGCTTAATTAAATCAGATTTAATTTTTTTGGCGAGAATAAATAGGTGATGAAGCCAGACATCATGACGCACGCCCATAATCCCAGCACTTGGGAGGTAAAGGCAGGAGATCAGGAGTTCAAGGTCAACCTTGTCTATATAGCAAGTTCCAGGTCAGTCTGGACTACTTGACTCTATCACAAAAGCTGGCTTTGTTCAAAGTACTGGATGTAGTAGTAAATCAACGACAAGGACTCAGGCTTCCCTGAACTTACACTCCAGTCAAAGGGCTTGTATACTTTATGACAATACACACTAAAGCCAAAGAGGAACGTGGGTGAGGAGGGACTTGGGGGCCAGGAACATGCTGGACAGACTGGTTGCTCTAAGGGAACAACAGACAAATTGAGAGCTGAATAATGAGAAGGTGGCTGTGTAAGGACACGATGGGAGGCAGAAGAGCCAGTGAGAGAAAGGCACTGAGGACAGTCTGAGCCTACAGGAGAGAGAGCAAACAGCCAGATCATGTGAGACTGTGTGGGTGGCTACAGGAAGTCCACCTCAGCACAGCAGCAATGAGAGGCCATACTTGACTTGAGCAAAAATACTAGAATTTTACTGCCAGATGACTAAATTCAGAATTGTATTCTCATCTTAGCAACAGGGTTCTTGAATCTATTTTTTCTATTGTAGATAAAAATAGATAATAGCTGATTTTTTAAAAAAAAATCCATCACCTTTATGAGACAATAAAACATCATATTCTGCTTTTTAAAAGGGTATTATTAATGCACCATCTTCTTACCTAACATCAATATCTAAGTTTTCTTGTTTGCACTGTTTTATGCCTTCAAGTATGGATTCCACGTAAGTCTTCTTTGTCATTCCTGGAAAGAGTGCAGAGCAGCATATGTGACGACATCACCACCTACTTCATCCTTCAGACAGCATCGCTGTGCTGTGCTAGGGCCCGGCTAACGGTGAATCACAGCCGTTAGGGAAATTTTTTAAAAAATATTTTATCTTGTGTGTGCACATATACACACATGTGTATGGTACCCAAAGAGGCCAGAAGAGGGGGTCAGATCTCCTGGAGCGGGAGTTACAGACTGTGATAAAGCCACCTATTCATGTTTTGTGTGTATATTCCCACACATGGGCATGCACATACTACATTGTATAACTTGAAACTGATTCTACAATTTAAAACTGAGATTAAGAATCTCTGTTTCCCATTTTGACATTTACTTTAACAGTTTCAAATAGTTCTTAACTGGCTACACATGTTTTGGTGTAAGATAACCTAAGTCTCTTCAGGTCAAGAGGGACTCAATGATAATATATAATGTCTCCTGATTACAAAACAAAACAACCTCCCTCTGTCCCTGAGAGTCAGGCCATGTAGGCAAGGGCAGGCAGAAAGTCATTCTCTCTTACTTCTGCCTTCAGAGTGTTACAGGTGTGAGGCTATCCCTGGCCAGACAGCTCTTATGGAAGTTTCTATGAAATTACTAAACCACATCCAGCTCAACTCTGTCCCCAGAAGGTTGAACACTTTACAACTTGCTCCTAACCATTCTCTAAGGAGTCAATGAATACCTGACACTTCAGTGAGTGCCATAAAATGGCATTCTATAACCACTTAGTGACATTATTTCCCAAGTGCAGGAGCAAGAACAGCCTCTACTGGAGACAAAGGTGATGTTCTTTGTGTGAATGTGTGTGTGGCTGCATGTTCAAGTGTGTGTTTGGGTAGATGTGCAAATCTGTGTGGAGGCCAGAGGACATCCCTAGATATCCTCCTCGGGTGTCATTCACCCTGTTTTCTGAGGCAGACTCTCACTAGCACAGGGCTTACCTGCTGACTGTCTGGTGTAGGAGGTCCATCTATCTATGTGTTGCTTTCATTGGTTAATTAATAAACTGCTTGGCCTGATAGGGCAGAACATAGGTAGGCAGGGTAGACAGAAATGAATTCTGGGAGGAAGAAAGCAGGGTCAGACAGAGCTGCCATGGAGCTGCCCAGTCAGACATGCTGAATCTTTTCCGGTAAGCCACGACCTCATGGTGACATACAGATTATTAGAAATGGGTTGAATCAAGATGTGAGAGTTGGCCAATAAAAGGCTAGAACTAATGGGCCAGGCACTAATTTAATTAATACAATTTCTGTGTGATTATTTTGGGGGTTAAGCTAGCCCGCTTCTCCTACAACAACTGTCTCCACCTGCCTAGGGCTGTGTTAGAAGAGCACTGTGCCCAGCCTTTTATACGGGTTCTGGATCTTGAACTCAGACCCTCAAGCTTGCAGGACAAGAACTTTCCGACTGAGCTGTCTCCTCACATGCTGTGTCCTTTTCTTGTAGAAAACAAAAACAAAACCCTAAATGCGATTTCCCCTTCTTTATCAAAGAGTGACCAAGTGGGTTTTCTACTTTTCGTTTAAGAACAACTTATGAACCACGAGCATCACTCTGGCTCAGGAGTAGGTCACTCGCCTGCAACGTGAGGCACTGGACCTGAAACTCAACACCACCACGTATATTTTTTTAAATGCCATTAAGCATCACTAATGTACACAGTGAAAGTTTTTGTTGTTGCTGAGTGATGGAAGCAAACAGGAACCTTGTGTGATCAGAACCCATGGCAACAGGACAGCACATCCACTGAGAAGGAGCTCAGCCCTACCAGTGACACCGTCCCCTCTGGGCGTGCTCCTCAGCTCCAGGTACTTGACACCATCTTCTGCAAACTCCTTAATGACGTCCTTTGTGACCTGATAATAAAAGCAGTGCACACAGTGTTGGCAGTGCTGGAGGAAGGTGCCCAGTGCAAGGGCCAAGTGCTACTGTTTCATTTCATTTATTAATTTTGACTGGCAAAGGATGTAGGGAATCTCTCTCCCAGGTAGTAGGGATCGCCTGCTTTGTCCATCCCTAAGGCAGATCATGTCAGTTCAGCAACAGTTCACATGACTCTGTTCCCATGTGAAAACTAAGTCTGCATATTAGCATGCTTTTTCCTTTCTTTTCTTTTCTTTTTTTTTTTTTTAATTTTTGAGACAGGTAGTCTAGGTTAGCCTTGAACTCATTTGATTCTCCTGCCTCTGTCTGCCTACTGGCAAGCCTGGCTTTCTTTCTCCTTGACTTTCTAGTGTTTATAATGGCAGACAAAAGAGAAATGAGTCAAAGTCATTGGAGTCACTCAGTGTTTGCATGGTGTTGGGAAATGCACAGACAAAGAAATAAACGGCTCTACTGACGTAACAATTAGACATTACTTGCATGTTAGCTAAGGTCATGGCTTAGGGTTCTTAGCAAGTTATGGAGGAATGTCTTGCATTTTTCATCAAATTCTAGCAGGGCCAACTTTTTCTCTGAGGTACTTGGGAAAATTCTCCTTAGGCAAAGAAAGTGTGTGATAAATAAAGTCAAACTATCTAATACAGTACAAGTCTAACAATCCAAAAATTACTGAAGGGACATCCTTCCTTTCTGCCAGCAATTCTAAGAAACACCAAATTTAGATGGGGAAACGGACCAGATTGAAGATCCCACAAATCTGCCCTAGTTGGCCCTTCAGTTGTTAAACTAATCTTAATCTTCTTTGACCGTGTGCATACGAACCTGCAAGGACAGCGTCTTAACAAAAGAACAAGTGTTGGCTGGCTCTGCAGACACCTAACAGGATGGCACTTAGTCAATTCATAGCAATACAATGTCTGCACCCACTTTTTTGCCCTCACAAAAGTCAAGAAGAATTTTTTTGTTGTTATTTATATTTTGCTTTTTAAGACAGGGTTTCTCTGTGTAGCCCTGGATATCATGAAACTTGTTCTGCCTCTACCTCCCAAGTGCTAGGTTAAAGGCAGGTGCCACCACCACTCTGCCTGAAAAGGAATTTTTAATAATAGAATGGATAGTTGAAGTTCACAATATAGGCTAGAAAATCAGACAGGGACTGCCCTGCTCGAGGCAACCCTATAGCCTTCAAAATCATGTCACTCATAGACAACACAAGATACATTGTTGCTTCACCAGAGTACGAATCTGGTGCTTCCAGCATTGTTGGCACTGGACCCTCTGGGGACTACTCCCAAGAACACCAACTTGCTGCCACTGCTATAACAAAGTAAGGCCTCATCGTTGCAGGCTGAGAACTACAACCAGGAAGGGCCAACTAACCCTATTCCACTGAGACCAATAGAGAAACCAGATGTTAACAGCAGCTGTGTTAGGGGGCTGGCTCTCTCACCTATTCCCATTCTTGTTCCAGACAGAACACAGTCCAATCAGTTAAGTCCTGAACAGGAAAGTATACGGGCTCTGGAAGAGACACTACTCTCACTTCCTGTGTGTGACTTTAGGTGAGCTATATTTCATTTCTCTCTTCTGGCTTTTTTTGGTAACAGGAAAGTATACGGGCTCTGGAAGAGACACTACTCTCACTTCCTGTGTGTGACTTTAGGTGAGCTACATTTCATTTCTCTCTTCTGGCTTTTTTTGGTGAAGGATGCTGGGAAGTATGCACAGGCACTAAGCAAGCAGGGCTCCAAATGAGCTGCAAGCCCAGCCTCTACTGGAGACAAAGGTGATGTTCTTTGTGTGAATGTGTGTGTGGCTGCATGTTCAAGTGTGTGTTTGGGTAGATGTGCAAATCTGTGTGGAGGCCAGAGGACATCCCTAGATATCCTCCTCGGGTGTCATTCACCCTGTTTTCTGAGGCAGACTCTCACTAGCACAGGGCTTACCTGCTGACTGTCTGGTGTAGGAAGTCCGTCTATCTATGTGTTGCTTTCATTGGTTAATTAATAAACTGCTTGGCCTGATAGGGCAGAACATAGGTAGGTGGGGTAGACAGAAATGAATTCTGGGAGGAAGAAAGCAGGATCAGAGAGAGCTGCCATGGAGCTGCCCAGTCAGACATGCTGAATCTTTTCCGGTAAGCCATGACCTCGTGGTGACATACAGATTATTAGAAATGGGTTGAATCAAGATGTGAGAGTTGGCCAATAAAAGGCTAGAACTAATGGGCCAGGCAGTAATTTAATTAAAACACTTGAAAATGGAGACAGGAAGACTAGGAGTTAGGAGTGTCAGGGCAGCCTCAACTATAGAGAATGTGTGAGGCCAGCCTGGGCTATGTGGGAAAAAAAACCAAAAGCAAAGAGAGAGGAATGAATAGTGTAATCCCATCTAAGGTCGAATATTTCTATTTTTGAAGGTTTATTTTTATTTTATGTGCACAAGTGTTTTTCCTGCTTGTATGTCTGTGCACCATGTGTATGCAGTGCCACAGGGGCCAGAAAAAGATGTCAGTGAAGTTACAGAGGGTTGTGAGGCACAGCATAGGTGCTGGGAATCAAACCTGGGTCCTCTGGAAGAGCAGCCAGTGCTCTTAATCACTGAGCCATCTCTCCGGCTACCATGTTTCTTACAACATGCCATACTTGGAAGCAGGATCAGGCTTTCCTGTCATTATTATTCCCTACCCAATAGAAGATGCGGATCTTGGTTCTTTCCCACGTCTTCCTTTTCCTCTTCCTCATTTCTTTAACAATAACAGACTTCAGGCTAGCTTAGGTCAATGTCTTACAACGATTTTTAAAAGAGTTGTCATTACAAAAAATTTAAAAATCAATGGAAAAAGAAACTGAGAAGGAAAAAAGAAAACATTTTCATTGGGTCCTAATGAAAGCAAAAGGTCATATGTAATGAGAGACATTCATTGCTTCAAAATTCAACATTCTAAACTCCTTCCATGTCTCACCATCAGAATATCCTCAGCACTAGTAGTAAGCTGGTGGATAACTTGGAACATCTGGAAACATCTACAAATGAACAAAATGTTTTAATACACTTTAGTCAACGAAAACTTGTTACTCAAGAAAAACTCCCTAAGTGGAATTAATTAGTAAATTTTAGGTTAATAGTAAGTATATATTTAGATTTACAAAGAACCACAGGATAATATTTTCAAAAGTATAATCTAGAAAATCAACTTAATAGCAAAAAATAAGATGTTATTTATTTATATTTTAAAGTATGAAATAATTCCATTCTCTAATCCTCTAGCAAAAGCAAATAGGGAAAAATCCACATTCCATTATTTTCAAATCTAAGAAGCAACTCAATATAATATAATTTTTTGTTTGTATTTTGTTTTTCAAGACAGGGATTCTCTGTAGCTTTGGAGCTTATCCTGGAACTTGCTCTGTACACCAGGCTGGCCTTGAACTCACAGAAATCCACCTGCCTCTGCCTCCCAAGTGCTGGGATTAAAGTAATGCACCACCATCACCTGGTATCAATAGTATAATTTCACAAACATAAATTATTACAAATACTATCAGTAGTCTGACAGTTGGAAAAATGTTATATGTTAGGTTATATTTTCCATGCCAGATGTCTTTTTACTTTTTTATTTTGGGTTTTTCAAGAGAGAGTTTCTCTATGCAACCCTGGCTGTTCTGTAATTTTCTCTGTAGACAAACAGGCTGACCTTGAACTCAGAGGTCCACATGCCTCTGCCTCCTAAATGCTGGGATTAAAGGCATGCACCATCACTGCCCAGCCAGATATCTATTTATTTAAGTATTAAAATCTGATTCTTCTGATTCTTATCTATTTCAATCTCAAAATACTGACAGACAAAAAAAAAAAAATCCTACAATCTCCCCAAACTTACTCTTCTAAAGTTCTTTTCTTTCCCTTGTCAATCATGGTCATGTGATCATGAACTTTAAGATGTGGCTTCTTGGCTATCAATTTCTTCATGGTACTGGAACTAATGGAGCCATTCAAGTGGGCATGAAGCTCCTAAAACAAGAGAATGTAATCAGTAAAAACACACCAGGGATCTACTAGATTCCTAGTCCCACACCATGCGCTGGCTGTTTGTAGTTTGCACCAGGTAAACTACTTGATTTAGCTATACCCTTTCTACAAATTCTACCCACAAAACTTACTTTTCTTTTGTGGAAAACAACATAAGAGTTGTTGTGCAACAAGAATCAGCTGTTAATTCTTACCACTTTTGGCAACTCCACGTAAAAATCTGTCTTCCGTGGATATTGATGTCCTTCTGCCTCCATCCTTTTGGGAGGAGGCAAAGATTTCATTCACTCTGACTCTGGCTTGGATGATACAACATAATCAAGTCAGCACTTCTGAGGTCCTGGCCTTTCTTCGATGGTTTTACTTACGCGTACTTCAGTAAGACTTGCTTATATGTTGTTTTGAGTTGAATTTCACCTGTATTCACGAATGCAAATAATTTCAGATGTTAACACAGAAACAAAGAAACACCACTGCTTTTCCTTTCACAGACCGCCCCTCCCCCACCCCACTACACACACACACACACACACACACACACACACACACACACACACACACACAGAGCTAATCTTAGGTGTTTCTGCAGTGGGGAAATGACTAGTAAAGCTATGAACAAAACATAAAAAAAAGTATTAAAACTCCGAGTTAGTCAAAGATCAGGGCGTCACTTACCTGCTTGTTTGTACATGCCTTTAACTTTGTGTTTACTGGGTAATTTCAGGTTAACACACACATGCAGCACTTATGTATTTGCTTTCATATGGAAACACTATTTCACAATCATGCTGCACCAACACTTTCCTTAAATGGGCTGGGACTGACCTGGACCATATTTGGGTCCCGACCCTGGCTCTAGATGGAGGCTTGAATTCACTGTCTCCTCTCCTCTGGGTGGACTAGATCTTGCACTCCCTGAGTCATTCTGCCACAGAAACTGTTCCCCTAGGACCCTAAAGAGCTCCTGAGCACCAGAACTTGACATTTTTTCATCAGCTGGACTCAAAAACTCCTCCTCATAGCTACTATGCACCACTGCTCTGAATCAACCATCCTTAAGATCATCCTCATCTCCCTTGCTAATCCAGCCAGACACAAAATCAATAAATGATAACGCTTCTACACGCCTCTGGGAATGCGTTCTTACTGGTAACTCCTAGGCATCCAATGCAGGAATTTCATTTTAAATCCCAACCTGAGTATCTCTCTCTCTCTCTCTCTCTCTAAAGATTTATTTATTCATTATGTTCGTGTTCTGTCTGCTTATATGTCGGCACACCAGAAGAGAGCACCAGATCCCACTATAGATGTTTTTGAGTCACCCTGTGGTTGCTGGGAATTGAACCCAGGACCTCTGGAAAAACATCCAGTGCTCTTAACCTCTGAGTCATCTCTCCAGCCCCCGAGTTGTTCTCTTTAAAAAGGGAGATGGAGGACTCAACATTCCACCAGGAATAATTACATCTCTTTCACAGCTATTTTCAGCAGACATACTCAATCAACACCACATAAGAATCACAGAATTCTGGAAGTGGAGGAGAGTGTCATTTTATAGCTGAAGAGAGGGTGAATACTTTATTCACTATAGGCCTAGCATAGAGCTGTGAATACATGACAGCCAATAGCATGTATGTGTGCAGGGGGCTAAATTACCGGTAATTATCTGTAAAGGTCTCCTTCACTTTCCATCTGGCCTAATTTAAGATTTAAATGACTTCTCCCTTGCAATGAGAACATTCAGTAAAGGAGAAACTGTTATTTTTTTTGGGGGGGGGGGGGGCTCGTAATAGGGTTTCTCTGCACAGCCTGTCCTAGAACTTGCTCTGTAGACCAGGCTGACCTCGAACTCACAGAGATCCGCCTGCCTCTGCCTTCGGAGTGCTGGGAATACAGGTGTGCGCCACTACCTCCCAGAAAGAAATTATGACTTTCTCGCAAGGAACAATCTATTCTTGCCTGCTGAAGATACGCGGTGCCGGTCCTTTGCAGGAAGTCGGGTCGTCAGCCCCCGATTCGATTAAAAATGTTCTCAAATACGAGGACCTACAGGACCTTTTCCCTTCGCGCCGAAATGTCTGTAGAAAAGTGGTTACGAGCTCCCCACACTCTAGCTGTCAACTAAGCAGCGTTCGCGGTAAAACGGGATTCGGAAAAAAAAAAAAATCAAAAGGTCTCTCGCGGTTTTTGGCAAAGCGCGCTCTGCGCGGAAGTGACGCACACCGCACCCAGAAGCGAACGACACCAGCGCGGTGAGTGTTTCGTGTGTACTGCGGAGCGTCTTCAGGTCATGGGCCCGCGAAGCCGCGAACGCCGGGCGGGAACCGTCCAGAGCACCAACGACAGCAGCGCCCTCAGCAAGCGATCGCTGGCCGCACACGGATACGTGCGCGACGCCTTCGCAGTGCTGCTGGTTCCGGGACCTGTGCGGCGCACGCCGCTAATCCATCGCGGCTATTACGTGCGCGCGCGCGCCGTGCGTCACTGCGTGCGCGCCTTCCTCCAGCGCACTGGCGCGCTCCCGGCCCCGACCCGAGCGCAGATCCTGTCTTTGGGTGCAGGCTCCGACTCTCTGTTCTTTCGCCTGAAGGCTGCGGGCCTCCTGGCCCGGGCTGCCATTTGGGAGGTGGACTTCCCGGACGTGTGTCGGCGCAAGGTGGAGAGGATCCGGGAGATCCCTGAGCTATGCTCGCTGACCGGCCCTTTCCAGCTCGGGGACTCGTCCTCCGCTCTGTGTTTCGAGAGCTCGGACTACCGCATCTTGGGCGCGGACCTGCGTGAGCTCCCGCAGTTAGGCGAGGCCCTGGACTGCGCGGGCCTGGATGCCACCGCACCCACGCTGCTCCTGGCCGAGGCGGTGCTCACCTACCTGGAGCCCGCCGATGCCGCGGCCCTCATCGCCTGGGCCGCCCAGCGTTTCCCCGACGCCCTTTTCGTAATCTATGAACAGATGAAGCCACGAGATGCCTTTGGGCAAATCATGCTGCAGCACTTTCGGCGACTTCACTCTCCCCTGCACGGCCTGGAGCTCTTTCCCGACGTGGAGGCCCAGGTACGGCGCTTCCTTCAAGCTGGCTGGACTGCCTGCAGCGCCCTGGACCTGAACGAGTTCTACCGCCGCCTTCTCCCCGCAGACGAGCGTCGGCGGGTCGAGACGCTCGAGCCCTTTGATGAGTTTGAGGAGTGGCATCTGAAGTGTGCCCACTATTTCATCCTGGCAGCATCTAGGGGAGCCACGCTATCGGAAACTCCGGTGTTGCCACCCCCAGAGGCATCTTTTTGGGTAGATCCTGCTTTGCCTTCAGGTTTTCTTTCTGCCAGACCAGTCACTAGTGACAACCAGCACTCCAGCCTGAAGAGATATGGCCACGCCTCTGTCCTCTTGAGCCCTGGCATTATTTTCAGTGCAGGAGGCTTTGGAGAAGAAGAGGGGCGACACTGCCGAGTAAGCACGTTTCACTTGCTCTGGAGATCCGGTGACTCTGAATGGAAAGGCAGCCAAATAAGTACTTTGGGGACTGGAGGCCAGTGGGATGGACGCCTTTATCACACCATGACAAGGCTTTCAGATACTCAGGTTCTGGTTCTTGGAGGGAGACTGTCCCCAGTAACTCCAGCTTCCGGGGCTCTCCAACTTGAATTATACAGAAGTGAGGCTAATTGCCCCGAGAGTCAGACTGTAACATTAACTGAGGCTGCCATGCAAGAAGGTTCCACGTTGTCATGTTGGCGCCATTCAACAACGGAAGTATACTATCAGAATCAAAGATACTTATTTGTGTATGGTGGCCGAAGTGTGGTGGAACCTGTACTAAGTGACTGTCGTTTCCTACATGTAGAGACAATGACTTGGGTCCGAATCCCAGTAGAAGGGGCAGCCCCCGAGGGTCGGCATTCCCATAGTGCCTGCAGTTGGCAAGGAGGAGCTCTTATCGCCGGAGGTCTTGGGGCTTCTGAAGAACCACTGAGCTCTATACTCTTTCTTAGACCAAAGTCCTCTGGATTCCTCTGGGAATCAATAGATATCCAGCCCCCCATTACCCCACGATACTCTCATACCGCTCATGTCTTTCATGGGAAGCTGCTTCTGGTTGGAGGGGTCTGGATTCATTCCTCCTCCGTTCCTGGAGTGACTGTTATCGATTTGACTACAGGGTCGAGCTCTGAGTATCAGCTTGACACGACATCTGTGCCCTGGCCAGTCATGCTGCACAACCACAGCAGTGTCCTCCTCCCCGAAGAGCAGCAGATCCTGCTAACGGGAGGGGGAGGGAACTGCTTTTCCTTTGGCTCTTATTTCAACCCCCACACAGTGGCATTAGACCTTTCTTCCTTAAGTACAGGCCAATAAAGACTGACTCCTGATATGTTCAGGACCCAAGAATAAATATGATTGTAAATAATGCCACACACCCCAACACACACCTTTCTTTCTTACCTCACTCTTGAATGTAGAACATGAAAACCATGTAGAAAAAAAAATGTAGAAAATACCAACAATAAGATGATACAGAAATGAAACAGTTAAAGGAGTGTCCATGCATCCTAGGGGTCTCTGCGTCATGTGTCCAGTTTATTGGGTTTCTACCGATTTTCAAATCTTAGCTATTTACAACAACGACAACCCTTAGCCTAAGTAAAAAATTTCCCAAACCGGGTCTGTGGCCTAGATTATATTTTGGAGAAAGTTTCACACAGATCCTTGGTAAGAATACAAGATTGAATATAGATCAGGAATACAGTATTGACCAGTTGCTTTGTGTGTAAAATCTGAAACGAGCACTGTAGTTTAAAGACTTAGTTTGAACACAAGACTGACTTTAACAATGAAAAGTACAGCTTAAAAATCGTGCTTTTCATCACTTTTTTTGCTAATATTTTGCAAGTGCTAATAAACTTGACATTTAATTCCTTAGTCAGTTTTGTACCGGTGTAATGAATGTCCCCGCCATGACTGTTCTGAGCCTGCAAGCAGTTTAGGATTATAGGCAGCATCAGCCAGCTCTCTTCTAGTTTCTGGTTGAGGGAGAGCAGGAAGTGAGCCCCAGTGGTTGTGGCTCTTTCTCTGCCAGCCTGCACATTGACCTGGTGCTTTCTGTCAAGGTCATAGCTGCTGTCAGGTCACCTGCACAGGAAGGCAGAGCCCTGATGCTGCATTGCTTCAGGTTATAGGAATTGCTCCTTTTCCTTAACCTCTTCAGACCTAGGAGCTATGCTGGCTCCTTGTCAGAGCCAAGCTGCCCTACCCAATGCAGTGTACTAGTTACTTTGTTTTTTGCACTGAAGAAACACCGTGAGCAAGGCAGCTTGCAGAAGAAAGGTTTACTTGGGTTTTTTGGTTCCGGAGATAAGCGTCCATCCTGGTGTGGTGGCTGGAAGCAGGGATGCTGAGAAAGCACATCCTTTACCATCAGCATAGAGAGCAAAGCAGAACCTGCAAGTAGGGAGAGGCCCTAAGGCCTCAAAGCAATCCCCGCTGCCACCTCACCCATCCCCACCCCACTGTCTGGGGACCAAGTGTTCAAATTCATTAGTCTGTTGTCATTCAAACTACCACAAGTAGCAATTAGCAACTTGTGACAATCTAAGACCATTAAATAATGGGACTGTAGTGTACCTTATGATCTGCAGTCATTAAACTCCCCTCAGTTATGCCTTAAAAGACGGGTAAGTCTGTTTCTATTGAGTTTTGGAGAAACTAATGACATTTCTTAAAGTTTGAGACTTAATCTGTCATGTATGTAACATGAGCTTCATAACTAGAGGTAGTGTCTTTATAGAACTGTTAGACTAGTGTGATCCTGGATATGGTAGTGTCTTGAGATTCTGTAAGTGTCCAACTTAGGCTTAACTTCTTAGTGAACTCTGACATGGAGTCCCTTTTCTCCAAATGTGTTTTGTTGACTTTGCACATAAAATGGCTGTGAAGGGTAGTTAGTATAAAACTGAGCACGGTTGTAATTTAACGTAAACTTTATGCTAAACTAACATGAGACTTTCTAATGGACCTCTCTGGAAATGTCTTTGGTTATGGCCAGGCATGAGTCTTGGAATACAGGGCTGCATTTGGCAAGGCTCTCAGTGGGCCAACTGCTAGATGGTTGACAGCAGCATGATTGGTGTGCTAAGTTTACCATGGCCTACGTCCAGCTTTCAGGAGCAAGTCAAAGGAGAATGTTATGAAATTAGTGTCTGTCCTCAACTGTGTAGGAGATAGTACCAGAGCCCTGGCTATGAACCCACTTCGTCCGGCTGGTGTGTCATCAATCACTATAATCTCATTACTGTGGGTATAAACAGGTACGGGGAGATCAAGAGGATGCCAGTGTGTGCCAGGACCAAAGCAGTGCGGCAGGGCCTAGTCTCCCGAACACTGCCAGGCAGCTCATTATGAGTAATTGGGCTTGGGCTCGTTCCCTCAAGGGAACCAACCTGTGTTTTCTGGAAGTAATTATAAGATTTGGCATGCCTTCCAACTTCAGCCCTATTTTTTTTCAACATGCTTAGCTAAATTATTTACCTCCTAAACTCTTTGTAATTAGCACACTTAGTAATTTTGCCAGAGCATTTGCTCCATGACTGCGTTGCAGCGCTCTGTATGTTCTGGTCAAGCACGGGCGCTGGGCTAGCTTCATTATTGACCGTCTGCAGCAGCTGGTGAGATGGGCCACACTGAGAACGGAAATTGAATAATAACTTCTGTTTCTTTGTTTCTTTTTTAAAAAAAATATTTTTGTTTTAAAATTCTGCTATCGAGCTTTGAGATCGTTTTGAGAGTCCATTTTCGTGGCTGTCTTTGCTCTTTTCATGATCTTTCCTTCCCAACCAGAAAAACTATTAAGGAAAGAAAAGAACCTTTACTCTGGGTCTCATATGCGGTGTATCATATTAGAATAAGAAAACAAGGTTTGAGACTGGAGAGATGGCTCAGCAGTTAAGAGCACGTAACTCCTGAGGATCCAGGTTTGATTCGCAGCACCCATATGGGAAGGCTCACAACCATCAGGGGCCCTGACGCCCTCTTCTGGCCTCCAAAGGCACCAGGCACACATGTACACAGACATGCGAGCAGGCTGAAGACTGAGAACAGCTGTTCTGGTGCTGGCTTTGGCAGCTCACGTGCTAAACCTGGAATGATGCAGAGAAGATGAGCAGGGGTCCTGTGTGAGGATGGCAAGAAAACCTGCGAGGCTCTAAACAACAAAGCCCACACCTGCTCTTGGATGTGTTCTTCATAAGCTAAACCAACATTTTGTCTGCCCTCTGAGGTTTCCAACTAATGTCCACCATTGAGAGCCAGGACAATCCAATTTTCTCAGAGGCCTTGACAAAATGACAAAAGGAACCTAGTGCCGGGTCCTTGCCCAAGAGCAGACTTGGTTTGTTTTTTTCTTTGTTTGTTTTGGGTTTGGTTTTTTGGTTTTTCGAGACGGTTTCTGTGTAGCTTTGGAGCCTGTCCTGAAACTAGCTCTTGTAGACCAGGCTGGCCTCGAACTCACAGAGATCTGCCTGCCTTTGCCTCCAGAGTGCTGGGATTAAAGGTGTGTGCCAATACCACCTGGCTAAGAGCAGTCTTGGAAAGGCCAGTCTGGTGCTGGTGGCCAGGGCCTCCAAGGAGTTAGGGTTTCAAGTCCTTGCGAACTTGGCTTTTTCACCTGAAGAGACTAAGGTTATCTGTCAATGCGTCTCAAGGCTGCTGGGTGCTAGGTCTATAATGCTCTTGACATACCCTGCTCCCTTTGTGCAACATTGCTTAATTAGCTGGTCGGTGGCGCATGCCTTTAAACCCAGCACTTGGGAGGCAGAGGCAGGCAGATCTCTGTGAGTTCGAGACCAGCCTCGTCTACAAGAGCTGGTTCCAGGCCAGGCTCCAAAGCTACAGGAACCCTGGCTCGAAAAACCAAAAGAAAGAAAGAAAGGGAGGGAGGAAGAAAGAAACTATTGCTTGATTAACTTCCTGCTGACTTTGTCCCACTGTATGATTTCCTGCTGCCTCTGTCCCATTTCTCCCCTGGAAACGGTATAAGATGCTGTACTTCTGACTAAGGCTTGCAAGTCTTCAGATTGTCCAAGACTTTCTGCTGCCTAGCTTTCCTCTCTTCTTTATCTTCTTATCTCCTGGCCATCACTTAGAACCCCGTCACTGAAGAATGATCTGGTCCAGTCGGTTCGCCTTTCTTTCATCTTTCTGCAGCTTTAATCCTTCTGAGTGGCTCTAGGGAGATGGAGCAGCCATGTCCCCATGCATCTGCTACAGTGCCCAGATATTTCTTTAGTGATCTTTTTCAGACCCCGAAGTTCTCATTTGTTATCTGTGCATCTTGTGGTCACAAACCCAACCTCCAGCACCTGCAGCACTTGGGCTTACTCTCAAGCTCATTCCGTGAGGAAATCCCAATTGTAACCAATCTCTCCTTGTATATGTTCTCCTTGTGTATTTGTGGAGATTTGATGGATATGAGAACTAGTTACTAGGGTGGGTTCCTAATCACAGGCATTATCCAGTAATGTCCAGTTTGACACCAAGGCTACAGTAAGCTTGGTGGGTGTGATGGTACAGGCCTGTAATCCAGGCAGTTGGGAGACTGAGACGGGTGGACTGTGACAGTTCTAGACAAGGCAGTTACACACTGAAACCCCAGTCTCAAACAGACAAACAAGCATAAACCTTAGCGGTTTCACAACTGCTTCCCAGAGGGAGATGTGAACAATGTTTTCATCCTGCTCCTAAGGTTCCAATGGTAAGTCCAAGTCCAAGCCCAAAGAGTCCACCCTGGGGAAATCAGTGAGTTCATGGGGCTCACTTACAGAGCACAGGTGACCCCAAAGCAGCCACCCAAGGAAATCATCGCCTCACTTTCCAGTTAGAGACAGTCTCTTTTCTGTTTGCTGCTGTGTATGTCAGGCTAGCAAGCCCATGAGCCTCTGGGGAGTCTTCTGCCTTCGCCTCCCATCCTACTGTCAGGGCCCGGGGACTAGAGCTGTGCACTCCCAGGCCAGGTAGCGTTTTCATCTACTTTGCCCTCTGCACCATCTCCCCAAGACCCAAACCCAGATCTTTTAAAGTCAACCTCCTTAGCCTGCATCAGGTCTAGACTTCCTGATATCACTCCTAGCTTTATTTGTTTGTCTGTGTGTGTGTGTGTGTGTGTGTGTGTGTGTGTGTATACCTGTGGGTACACTCCCCTATGTGTATGGGAGTGCAATGATGTGGAAGCCAGAGAACAACTTGCAACAATCGGTTCTCTGCTACCATATGGGTTCCAAGGGCAGAATGGGTCATCAGGCTTGGCAGCAAATGCCTTTACCCTCTGAGCCGTCTCACCTACCACTCCTAGCTTTATGGAGTGGGTCCAATTTTCAGCAGATTACAGATTCCAGCTGATCCTCAGCCTCCTTTGCTTGACAATGGTCCACGGTTACCCCATGTCCTTTGGAGATGGAATGAGTTAAATTGGCCACAAACTAATCTGAAACCAGGAACGTGCAATTAAAGATGCCCATGAACACATGCAAGAGCTTCCCAGAATGCTGTGGTGCTTCACCGGGCATGACCTGGTATATAACTCAATGTAAGTTTAATAGAAGAAAGACTTGTCCTCATTTCTATGTGCCAAGTCTTTTGCTACCTAACCGGAAGATTAAAGCTATGAAATCAACTGTAATAGGAATGGTTTTGATATATTATACAACCCCCTGCGCTCTCAATTCTTGGCTTATTCACATTTTTAGGGTTCCATCAGAGCCCCAATCTTAGATTTATATCTACTACCTCACAGAAAGCTAGCCAAGATGACCCTTCTTGTTTATGAATAAATTAGAGACGTAGTTTATAATAAAAATGAAATGAGGGAACTCCTTTCTTCTCTCCCTCAAATACCCAATTAAAAAAATAGAGTCCATCTAGGCAATGGTGGTGCTCGCCTTTGATCCCAGCTCTCAGGAGACAGAGGCAGGTGGATCTCTATGAGTGTGAGGCCAGCTTGGTCTACAGAGAGAGTTCCAGGACAACCAAGACTACACAAAGAAACCCTATCTCTAAAAACCAAATAAAAAAAGTAGAGTCTATAACCCAGTTTATAAAATTTACATTTACAAATACAGTATTTTTGTTACTAGAGCAAAACTCGGTAATTGTGCTAAAATTTTAATCACATGAATGGTTATGTGGTTTAGTTAATCTAAAATCAGTCATGAATTAATAGTAAATTGTAATGTTTAAGGCAGAGATTATATCTGGGCATGATATATAGGGTTGTACATGCTACAACCCTAGGCTGAGGCAGAAGGATTATAAACTTGAGATCAGTCTGGGAAACTGTGAAGACTTCATTTCAAAACAAAACAATAACAAAAAAGACTCTTGGGCTGGGCATGTAGATCAGTTGGTAGATTGCTTGTCTAGCATGCACAAAACCTGGATTCTATTTTCAGCACCACATAAGACCCAGGTGTGGTGGCATGCATCTGCCTGGCAGTGTAGGCAGTGAAGGTAGAGGCAGATCAGAACTTAAAAGTCAAGCTCTACTACAGAGTGAATATGGTCACTATATTTTTTATTTTCAGGTGGTAATCTCTCATTTTCCCACATTTCATTTTAAGAGAGTGTGCATGTGTATGTATGTGTCTGTATATATGTTTGTGTGGTGTGTGAGTGCATGTGTGTGTGTGTGTGTGTGCATGTGTGTGTGTGCGTGCATGTGTGTGTGTGCGTGCATGTGTGTGGTGTGTGCGTGCATGTGTGTGTGTGCATGCATGTGTGTGTGTGTGTCTGTATAAAAGTTTGTACACAGGACACAGCACACGTGTAGAACTCAGGGGACGACTTGTGGGAGTCAGTTCTTTGTTTTAATTGTGAGGGCCCTGGAGATCTAATCTGGGTCCTCAGACTTGGGGGCAAGCACATTTATCCAACTGAGTCTTCCTGGAGGCCCTGATCATTTAGATTGTGAGTCTCCTCTTTCTTGGAGAAATGGTTCTCTTTTTTTGCTGTTGTTATGTTTTTGTTTGTTTGTTTGTTTGTTTGTTGTTCAGGCTCCTGGAATCTAAAGCAGGAGGATAGAGAGTTCAACACCAGCTTGAACTAGGCTGTATGATCCCTGGTATTCACTTGGTAAAGGCTGAGAACCCACTCCCACAGACTGTTGAACTGCGCGTCCGTGTCTATTCATGGGTGAGGGATGAAAAACAGCTACTCTGGGTAGAAGAGAAGGGAATTTACAAACTTGAGCAGCATGGATGAGCTGTAGTCACTGACAGCCTGAACCAAGCTGGTTTGTGAAGCTTGAAGATCTAACTGAAAAGAACTGAAAACCTCACACTGAGAGCTGAGACAATGGTAGCTGCGAAAGGAGTAGTTTATAATCCTGGGGCTTGGAGTCAGACAGACCTAGGTTGGATTCTTACTTGATTCTTGGAGAAATTACTTAATCTCTCTAATTCACAGTTCCTAACTTTGTCAATGGGACACAATAATAGCACGAATTACAAACTGATGAGAGAATTGTATAAGAGTGTGAATACAGTATTCAGTACAATGTGGGGTTAGTCTGCAGCCTTTCTCAAGTCCTTTGTTCCCAAAGTGGATTCAGTCAATACAGTACTCAGTGACTGTTTAATATTGTGTTAGGTCTGTGGGGGGAAGTATGGTCTCTACCCACAAGAACACACGAAGCTCACAATCTAGCAAAGGTCAATACCTTGAAGTAACAGGAACAGCTGGTATGGACAGATGGTCTTAGAAGAAATCAGAGGTTCAAAAAAAAGTCATTATTGTGTGTATTTGATGTATATGTGTGTTTGCGTGTGTGCATGTGTGTATTTGATGTGTGTGTGTGTGTGTGCGTGCACACACATGTGCCGCAAGTATATGGAAGTCAGAAAACAACTTTGGTTCTTGCCTTCCAGTATTAGTTGTGGGGATTGAACTCGGATCATCAGGCTTGAGCAGCAAGCCCTTTTATCTACTGAATCATCTTTCCTGCCCAAGATAGAGTCTAATAGAAGCTGCTAAGGGCATAAAGATATGAACTAGCACCATAGTTCTGCACAGCCAGTATGTGGCAGGAAACATAAGTTTCTTAATAAAGGAGAACATCACAAAAGTACTGAGATATCAGGTATGTGGACCAGAAGAGGCCTAGAATCAGGCTAAGGGAAGACACAGAGAGGGATCATAGGCTTTGGTGGAAGAAAGAGGGATCCA